TCCTGACCCGCCCGCTGCTCCCCTCAGCAGTGTACTTCGTTGATCTGCCTGTTCTGCTCCCCACTCTGTCTCTGGTGTAGCCTCTCGCCAGCCTCTGGCCTGTACCCCAGTTCTGTATGTACAAATAAATAAATCTTAAAAAAAAAAAATGCTTTCACCTGGCCCTCCCTGGTGGCACAGCAGAATAAAACACAGTGCTAAGAAGCTAAAGCCACTTCAGCATGAGTTCTATCCCCACCTGCCCCAGAGGTGACCCACATGGTGCAGCAGACCTCTCCTGACCCGCCCGTTTCTCCCCTCAGCAGTGTATTATGTTAGTTGGACTGTTCTGCTCCCCAATCTGGTGAAACCTCTCACCGGCCCTGCACCTCTAGCCTGAACCCCAGTTCTGTATGAATAAATAAATAAATCTTAAAAAAAAAAATGCTTTTACCTGCCCAACTCTCACCTGTCTCAGGCAAACACTGAGGTATTTTCTGCCACTATAGATTATTTATTTTATCTAGAATTTTTTTATGAGTATATCAAACAACATGTTTTTTTTTTCTCTGTTAGCATGCATTATTTTCCATTTGAATTCTTTTAGCAGCATAACTACTTTGCACTTCATTTAGGTAGTAGTATGAATCAGTCATTCATTTTGTATTCTTGAGTAGTATTAAAATATATGGACATACAACAGTTTATTATCCATTCATTGACTAAGGATATTTGAATTGTTTCTACTTTAGTGTTAGCAGAAATATGTCTGCTTTGTACTATTGTGTAGAAGTCTTGTTTGGACATGTATTTTATTTTTTCTTGGGAAATTTTAAGAGGGCAATAGCTGGACATACAGTAGCTATGGTCAGTAGATTTTAGTTTTAGCCATTGGTAGAAGCATAGTATAATATTTCATTGTGGTTTTTATTTACCTTTCCCTAATGTCTAAAATTGTTAAATATTTTTCCATATGTTTATTTGTCATTCATGTGTCATCCTTGGAGAAGTGTCTGCCAGAAACCCTCTGCTTAATTTTATTACCTTTTTTTTTTTGTTTATTTTCAATTTAGAATTGAAGTTGTTTATATATTCTGGATATAAATTCTTTATCATATATAGTTTGAAAATTGTTTCTCCTTGTTTCTTCTTGTCCTCTTAAAAATGTTCTGAAGAACAGTAATTTTTAACTTTGATCAAGTTCTGTTTATTAATAGTTTTTTTTTCCAAATGGAATGTGATTTTGACATTACACATCAGAATTTTTTTCCTAAGCTAAAGTCACATATATCTTTCTCCTATGTTTTTCTAATTGTTTAGTATTCAAAATTTTTATGTTTAGGCTAAAAAAATTTAAGAGTTAATTTTTGTACATAATGGAAAGTTAGGACTAGTATTTTTTTCCTTTTGCATATGCATATTTTATGGTTTCAACACCATTTGTTGACAAAATTATATTTTATCAACTGCATTTTCTTGTACCATCATCATAAATCACTTGTCCACCTAAATTTTAAGTCACTGGACACTATTACATTCCCATGATATGTCTTTTTTCCTTGAATTTACAGATTAAAATTTTCTAAAAAAAGAGGTTGGTAGAATTTTGATTGGAATTGCAAGGAATCTAAGGTAAATTTGGTGAGAAATGCTAGTCAATATATTAAGTACTCCAAAGTATGAAAAATGTATATTTGCCCATTTATTTAAATATTCTTTCCTTTCATAGTACAAAATTATGTAGTCTTCAGTGTACACTCCCACTGCAGATAACATATACACAAGTAAGAATTTGCTCAAAGCTCACAAAATTATAGAAATTACAACAAAATATAAACTTTTAATTGAATCTAGTAGATAATAATTCTAAAGCTATTACTAGAATTTCATTTAGATAAGCATGTTGCATTTAGTTTTATATTATTAAGAAAATGTTACTTTATAATGAAATACTCATTTATACTTATTGAAGCCACATCCCATGCAGGATGAAAGTAAGGTTATTATTAAGTATCTTTATGAAATACATGTTTATGTAAGTTACATCTCAATATAGTTTTTAGTTAAGTGGAAGAAGTAAGAGTAAATGTTCAATGTGAGTACTGTTGCATAGTATAGATTATTAGAGAAAGCAAGTGAAGGAAATGAGAATGAAAAAAATACGAAGAAGAGCAATGATGAAATCCATTACTAGTAACAATGGTTCAGCTTGGCTGGAAAAGTTTGAGACTGACATGGATAGAGCTATAAATGCAGATAAGATTGTGGCTTGAATTTATTGTTTTATTTATTCAATAAATCTTTGTTTAGCATTATTATCTTCCAGGCATTGTTTAACACAGAGGACAGCAAACTATGATCAATGACCTGTTGTTTTATAGTCTATGATCTAAGAAGGGCTTTTACATTTTTAAAGGTTAAACCAACCAATCATCTACCAAAACAAAACAAAAATGTAATATAGATGATATGTGCTGCAAACCCTAAACTATTTGCCATTTGGTCATTACAGAAAATGTCTGCCAACCCTGGCTGAAGATATTGGAATACAGCAGTAGTAGCAAAAAAAAAAAAAAAAAAGAAAAAGAAAGAAAGAAAAGAAAACAGTAAGTACTTGCCCACATGGAAGAAATATTCTCATGGGGGGAGGATAGAGATGAGCAATGAATAAATGAAATAAAGTTAGTAAGAGTGGATGGAGAAAATTAAAACAGAGAAGGGGAATTGGTGACCAGAAATTAAGTGTAGTCTTACTGATGGTCTACAGGGGCAAAATGGGCATGAAAGTCTTTGGGATGAGGAATAATCTGATAGTTGGATTTTTCGAGGTGATCAAGTTCCAAACATGTTGAGACAGTCACTTTTCATGGTGATTGTTATGCTGAGGGTAGAGAAAATACTGGTGTTTTAGCCAAAGCCCCAGAATTTGGGGACTCTTAATTCTCCTGCCAGTGGCAAGGTAAGGAAGAGGGAAAGGTGGGGGTTACAGATTTATCTGAAGATATTGTGGTGGTGGATTGGAGGGAGAAACCACCAGAAAAGGGTCCTTGGAATGACAAAGTGTTAAGAGTAGTCTGTCCTGATACTGGCAATGTATTGGAAGTGACCACTGATAATTACAACATTCTAGAAGTTGAGTGACAGTGATAAGAGGTAATTTTTTTCCTATTGTTAGCATAAGAAGGAATACCACACAGTCAAAATCAATTATTGTATTACCAGTATTGAAGTGTTTGTTGAGCTTCTACTATGTACCTGGCACAGTTGTAAGAACTAAATAGTGTTGTCCAGAAAATGTAAACAAGATCCATCTCTTGTAAAATTTATGTTCTCAATGCTATAGGTAATTTCAGTTTTTACAAGAACTATGTGTAAGATGGAAGTTACTACCTTATCTACATAAGGGCAGGGAGAGTCCTTTAAGAAGGCCTTTTCAGATTGTTGAGAGAAGAAATGGAGGGGGGTTTTGATCAGTTAGTGAAAAGAGGCAAATTGAATTAAAATAAGGAGGCAGTATGGAATTTTTAGAACAGTGAATTTGGGTGATGAAAGTGTCTCTTCAGGCACTTATGAGAGCCCCCACAGATCCTGTGATGAGACAGAGTCCCCTGGGACAGCCAGCCCTCAAGCAGAAGGCTTATCTTTCTCTTCTTCTCTTGTTCTATAGGACCTTAAAAAAGTGTAGGGGAGGGTAACTTCCTGCCAAATATCATGCTCCTAAGATTCAGAACATTTTAAGTGTTATCCGTATTCAGCACCAGAGATGAAGTACATGTGCTGATTATAGATAGCAGGGCAACAGTAATATTACTAGTAATATTACTAGTATTACTACTGCAGCAGAAAGCTGGTATTTATGGAGGGCATAATACTGAGATGAGAATAATGCTAACCCTATTTCCTAGATGGAGAAATTGAATCAAAGATAAGTAACTTGCCTAGTCCCTGAAGTAGGTGAAATGTGGCAGCATGTGAAGAATTTTCATTTTCTTACAATTACTGTATGACACCCTCTTCTCAAGAATCAAATAAATTTCAGGGATTTACTTCCTTTTCATATAGGTGGTTTGGAGTTCACTTAAATTACTACTAGTGTTTCCAAAAACTCATTTTTTTTTTGCTACACTCATTACTTAGACTTGTTCAAGTTTGATCCTGAGAAGTAGCTTTTTTTTTTTTTTTTTGGGTGGGGGGCAAGAATCCCCTTTCCTTCCCTCAGCCTTTGTTTCTGTTTAAGCCCATTACTATCCAGGAAGGATGATGGGTAATACATCACTTCATGTTCATTCAGCATTTAAGCTCAGTTTTAGCTCACATATAAGCTTAATACTTCAATTCATCTGTTCCAAGACAGATTTATAATTTTTTATTTTGAAAATTGGTAAGATTTAAGTATGGGACACCAAATGTCATTATTTATCAGATAATCATATTTTTGCATTTGTTTCATAGACTATAAAATAAAAATTTATCCATTAGATAATTAACAAACAATACATGATTGGGTGAAAATAATTAGCTGAATTTTTTCTACCAATAAGTTTTTCTTGCTACTATGAAAAACTTCTTAGCTTACTGGAAACTATTTAACATAAACTGGCTAAAAACCAAGTACAGTTTAGAGCTCAGGTATGAAAACAGAAAGTGAAATAGATTTCATTGCATCAAAATAGCAGCTGCAAATACTCTACCCTCAACCCCTAGTTAGTGAAATAATGACTTTTAATTCATTCACGCATAGGTTTATTTTACTTTATTTGATGTTTTTAAACCAACTAAAAATCTTGAGATCACAAAGCCACCTAGATTTGACTTGTACATGAAAACAGCATATGAGAAAACAAGAGAACGAAAATTATTTTGACTTTACTTCACTTATATGATTAGTCAACATACACAATTTCTATCTTTAAATAAGTAAACTACCTAACCTCACTCAGCAATTTTAATTTATGTTCTTTTAGGTCCTTGGGAGAAATAACCAAAATATAACAGAGCAAGTTATGAGAAAAACCCCTTACCTTTAAAGAAGACAAAATTCCCGTCACTGTTCTCATACACCGCATCAATACTAGGAGGTAAGCCCCGCCAGAAGTATGTAATTTGCATGGGGTATCCATCCATCACCCTGTTGTTTCTCACTCGCCAAAACCACTGGTCCTGCAAACCCAAGCAAAAGTAACTTGCATCAAATATGTAGCCATCATGGCATTTCACCTGTACACAATGATTTAACACTTGCAAAGCTAAACTAGTGTCCTTATCATCATCTTACGTAGGGAGTAAATTCAACAGTGAACATCTTGCCTGTATGATGACAAAAGCTTTGTACTAAACGACCCACTTCCTAATCTACATAATGTGGTTAAAATATATAATAAAATAGTTAATCCTAGTATTTTACATTCTTTGCAGGACTTTCTAGGTAGAAATCCAGAGGTAGCATAGATAAGTGCCAGCCAGATTTATGCATTAAATAACTTTTCCATAAATGAGAGCAACATATGGCTGCATATGCAACCCAGTATTTTTAGACATATGCAAAATCTCCACATCTAAAATGTTGTTAAAATAGGGATATCATAATTCTAGTATGTCTGTATTATTTCTGTTGTCCCAAATAGTTAATTATTCATGTATTTTAAATTCTAGGTTTTACAAAGAAATTTCACTTGGAAGTTCCATTTTGTTTTGTTTAGCTAAGTATGTATCATCAAAATTTTTCTGTTTCCATCCTTCTTTGCTCTCCTCCTCCAACTTAGAAATTAATAAATGATTTATATAAGGATTTCCCAGGCTTTTGGCTAAAAATAGATTAGCATGCCTAAATTTTCTAAGACTTGTCAGTTTTCTCTCTCTCAGCACTTCCCCCGCACCCCATTCACTGAGGATTCTTCAGGAAATATGATAAAATAAACTATTTCCTACTTACAACCCCACTCTAAATATTAAAATTTTCTCAGAAACTTTGAGCCTTTCTACTTTGTTCTAGTTATCACGGGCTGTCTTCCCTATAAAACTTTGTTATTGATATATAGATGAGGATATATCTTAATAAGTTATATATTAATAACAAAGACCTGGAATATAGTAGTATTAAAAAATGTTGGTTGTTACCATTGTTAACACTATATTGAAACTAGTTACCTTATTTTTCCTCTTTATACTTCATTCTATAGTTTTGTTTTATTTTTTTCTTCTTCAGTTTTAGCAACAGTTTGGCTCTAGACACGAGTCTCTTTCCCACCAATACCTTTCTATGTTGTTCACAATTTGTTAATGATTTTTATAGTATTGGGTAGACTGAATTAATGTCTTGAACCACATCTAGTAGATCCATTAAACTGATTTTAAAACACAAAGTTATTTTACGGAAACATTGATTCAGGAATATATATATGTGTGTGTGTGTGTGTGTGTATGTATATATATGTGTGTGTATATATACACATATATACATATATATACATATACATATATACATACATATATATATATGTATGTATATATGTAGAATGAAGATCAGGGTTTTTCTGATAATGGTATGTAAACAGGTGATATTAAAAAGAAAAATAGCATTTCTGTCTAGCAACAATGGGGACTTTTCACTTGCTGTCAAAGTCATGCCAAATTCCACCTAAAATATTTTTTAATTATTAAAATGTCTATCCTAAAAATAAAAAAAAAATCTTGATTCTGCTAAAAAAAAAATCATGATTGTTTATGGAACAATGAAGCTGACAGCTCTCTAAGGTAAAAAATCATATAAAATAGTCTTGAGTATTTCCAATTTTTCTCAGGGAAGCATTTATGTAGCTATACCTTTCCACATAATGAGACAAGCTAGTGATACTTTGGGACAGTGTGAAGTTAGAAACACAATCTAACTTGCCACTAATAAGAGAAGAAATGAAAACTGTCTCAAGAAAAGTGTAATTAATTTTAAAAATTCAGAAGGTAGTATGGAATCATGGGTGATTCACTGACTTGCTAGAGAGACGTAAATTAGATAATCAGAATGTGCCTCTATTCAACTTATCCACAACTTCTCAGAAGAACTCAATAGAATATTTAGCAAGTACTCAGTCACAGAGGATGTTAAGTGCATTTTTCAGTCACTGCAGGTTGCCATTTCAAAATGGGCTTGTGAGGAATTTGGAGAAAGGATATTTAAAATGATATTTAGGTCTTTGTGCAAATTTTCCTCAGAGAAACCTTTTTTTGACCACTTGATCTAAAATTGAAGCCCACATTCTACCCACACACATCTGCTTTCATTTCCCTTTCCCCTGCTTTCTTTCCTTTGTTGCATTTATCATTATTTTACACAAGACATGCTTTATTCACTTGTTCTCATTCTCTCTCTACTGTAAGTTCCATGATTACAGTCTTTTGTTCACTTGCTCCATATAACCCCCACTCCCAATGCCTTGCACATAGTTGCAGTTCAGAAATTTTTTCTTGAAAGAAAAATCAAGAGGAACGGGAAAGTCAAAGTATGGTCCCTCCCCACCCACCTCAAGAAGCCAAAAGCTATATGGGAGCCAAGAGAAAACAACACTTGAACAGGCAGATACTTGGCATACAGTCCATTTTCTAGAAGTGTGGGATAAATTCGAGCCATGGAGGAAAAAAACTGCTTTCACTCTTCCAACTAACACAGAAGTTTTTTTTTTTTTTTTTATTTTACATGTAAGAAGAAAGAAAGAGGAACTTCCCCAGAGTCCTAAATCTGTTTGAACCTTGCTTCTGGGACTCTTTAGTTATAGCCCTTACAGATAGAGATACAAAAGGATATAGTATATGCACACATTAGTCACAGACAGCGCATTTACAAAATCAACTTTTGAAAATTAATTGTGCTTAAAATTTACCAAATAGAAATTCCTACTTCAATATCAATATTTCACTTCAGATACAAGAAATTCTGGGTTTACATGTAGATTTTTCTTTCATTGTAGCCTGGTACCAAGACCATTTTCTTCACAAAGATAACAAATCTAGAAGTATCATAGAGTAAACCATGAAGTAGTGATGTTCAAGACAAATTCAGAATTTTTTCCTTTTAATGCAAATTATAGCTTACAGAATTCAAATTTGCTCAGAACCATATAGAAAGTGTCTTCCTGCTCTCTGAACAGGAGATGATCAATAAGAGGACCCTATTTTATACCTATTTTTAAAGAAATAATTAGTAGAATTTACTTTGCTTTCTCTTCTGATATGCAGAGCTGCTTCTTTAATGTCCAATTTATGTAAATCTAGCATTTGCAGGCATCTCACAGAATATTTCCAGAAGGCAACAGTAGTTCTCTGAGCCTTCTCCTGTTGCTCACCTAGGGCTTCTTTCTTCTAGACCAATAATAGCACTGCAAATCTCTTCACTTCATGTTGCCATCACTGTCAGCATCCTTTCTGAGGTATCAATGTAACCAATTCCCTGAGATAAGAGTAATACCAACACAAAGCCATTGATTTTCTTCCTACTGTGTCTAAAATGGAATTCAAACTCGAACCTTGTTGCCAACATCTGCACTACACCTTGAGGTCTCTTTTAAACTGATGGTACTCCAGGTACAATCACTTGCTTTCAGTTTCTTGATTGAGTCAATTGTTTTCTTCCTCAAGCCTTCCCTCATGTAGTTTACTCAACTTCTCTACATTCTTCACCTGATGAACTGTGAGTCATCTATGAGTCCTCAGCTGAAATATCCTTTCCACGAAAAGACCTTACTCATCTACCAACTGAAATTAGGCAACCTTGTCACCATGATTTCATAGTAGGTTGTAATTTTACTTTACTACATGTATGTAATCTATCTCTATATTATTGTTTTTGAGGCTTAAATTGTCCCCCTGTGTAACTGTTTAATGTGACCCAGAGGGGTAGCATGTATGTATTTGCTTATAACTGAATTACCCCCTTTGAGAAATTTGCTTGCTATGTTTCAGAATGCCTACACATATTTAATGGGCAATTTTTTTCTTCCAAGCCACCATGGGGATTAATCACTTATACCTGTGATGTTCAAACAAAGTAATATGAGTATCAAACTATTTATTTATTTAAAAGTTTTATTTTTATTTATTTATGCATATAACTGGGGTATAGGCCAGAGGTTCAGGGGGTGGTGGTGAGAAGATTCATCAGAGACAGGGTGGGAAGCAGAACAGGTGGATCTGTTCCAATGTTTGCCCAAGTAAACCATTTTTGACAAGACAAGAGGAATAAAATTGGGGACAAGTTACTGGTGGCCAAAGTTGCAGTTAAAGAAAGGAAAAATACACTTTGGTGCAATTGTTATGAGATAGCTAACACGTTCAGAACTGGACAGCTTTACTACCTACCCATATTTCAAAAGCACACAGTAAAGCAAATGATATTTGTATAAAATTAGTATTTAAGTAATGTTTAATAATGCCATCTGTTAGATTCTATAACTCAATCACTTCATAAGCACTGAACCTTCATAATGAAGAGTACCAATTATCAGGTTTATTAGGTTAGACTCACTCATTTTAAGTAATGGAGAGTACTAAAAACAAGTCCATAAATTATCTGCCCTTAAAAGACTATTTTTTCATGTTAGAGTAAATATGGATTTACATTTCAAATAATACAGATATTATTATATTCCTTACACTTTTCACCAAATTTCTACAGAGATAATTCTTACATAACAAGAGTAGATGAAAACAAAGAAACTGAGATTGATAGAATCCAGTGATGGGCTTGTACATGTATATACTTATATTGTTTAGTAATTTTAATAAAAATAAACATCCATTTTAGCTAATTTATATTTGCTAATATTGATAATGCTGCAATCAAGAGCTTTGTGTATTAAAATGTAACAAACCTTATTCCATCTTATTTAATTGTCATACATGTCCTAATCAGCAGTGGCATATATGGACTAGAAATGTAAAATGCTGTATAATACTATACAAATATGTTATGAATTCATTAATTGATTTCACACTACATATCTTCAGACTCAGTCTATGTAGAGAATTGTAAAAAATATTATAGTATTGAAGAAAGAGAGCAAGGCCGTTTGCATTTAGTTATATGCATTTCCTTTTCAGCATTGGAAATGAAAACTAAAATATAAATTAGAGAGAAACAAAAACTATTAATAGCTGTATCTGGCAAAGAT